GGATGCATAATTCTTTTCCACCTGTATGCTGCTTTTTGCAGTGGCTGTATTTTCTGAGTACATCTAGAAAGAATTCATTGCTAATGGGCAATTATGACTGTGAATAAAACCTGGGAAAGCAAAAGCTCATAGTTAATACACATATTCATCTGGTGGTTTTGTTTGAGTAATTAGATTGACATAATTGCTGCATAGTGAAATATCTGTTGCTTTTGCTGCTTGTTAAATATTATTCCTGAAAGTAAGTGTTGCTTCGTTTAAATTAGGATCACATAAAATTCATAGCAGTGGAGCTTGTGACTGGCATTTTTATGTCTTCATAAATAATGATTCCTGTGAATCAGTGCAAAAACTGATTCTCAAAAAATCAGGAGAATAAGTGGTTACCTCTTATATGATTTAAAGTCTTGCTCCTCTTAGAGGAAGCAAGACTTTTCCTGTTTTTCACATCAAAGCTTTTCTCAGCCTGACAGCGTTTAAGAGCTTGACTTGTGTCAGTGACACCAAAGACCAGGCTCAGTTTTGATGGATGCTGTGGCACTGAGCTTGTTAGCAGCTCCTTGTCCTGTCGGTGTGCGAGAGCGGCACGTTTACAGGAGTTTGCACCCGAGTCTTCCATGACATGAGTTCTTTCAGCCCCAATACAATTTATCCTTTGCTTACTCTTTTAAGTTTTTAAAACTTGTGTCAGTGCTGAAGGACCACAGAAAGAAGAGACTGAGAAGCAGCTCAACCTGTGGATGAAACTCTTGACTGATCTCAGGACAGAAGCAGAGCTGGAGGTAGCTGTGATCTGCAAAGTGGAGTGACTGCATCACAGTAACCCCTTCTGCAGCCTGCAGGGAACAGAAAAGCTCATCAGCTGAGCTTTTATTGGACCAAACTCCATGCTGAAACACCCTTTCTAGCACTTAATGCTGGAAAGTGGAGAAAGCATGGAAAGGAAGAGAAAACAAGCTGTAGATTCAGGTATTGTTGTCATAGAGATTAAAGGCAAGGACTGATTACTTCTGTTCCTGTAAGGCTATGCAGGCAAGCTAATAAATTAGAAACAGGCTCCTGCAGGTCTTGAGGTTACCACAAATATTTCCAATTCTTTGGGTTTTTGCTCTTCTAATAAGAAAGGTGAGAACAAGTGCATGTGTCTGGGAGGAGTTTCCTCCAGTGCATTGTTGCACTCCTCTGTGGGAACTGGGCTGGAGCACAGCTCACTCCCCTATTGCTGGACAGCCTCATGGACGTCTCAGAGCCATTTGGGAACAGCTATAAAGACGTTTCACGGATTTGTAGGTACAAGACAAAAGAATGTGGATAGAAGTGCCTACGAAGTGTATTTTTTATGTAATATGGGGGCTGCGTGTCGCGGTGTTAAAAGCACTCAGTGCTCCGGTGTGCTGCACTCATTGCTGTGCTGTGCTCTGCCTGATCGGCTTCTGCTGGAACGGAACGTGGAGGCCAGGAGGAGATGAGAGATAGTAGATGGGAGAGGGCAGCCCACGGTTCCTTGTAACTTAGGGATCTAAAACTCTTCCCTGAGGTTGAGGTATGGATCAAAGCATCATGAAACTAAAGAAGCAATGGAGGTTTTGGCATCTTGCAGTGGTTGGGAAAAATGAGTCAAATGTTCACAATCGGGATGAAATACTTTTCAGACTATGGATTCATCTCAGTGGAAAAAACCAAATCCTTCGCTTTTTATCCTTGGCATCACTTCTAACCCCAGGACACCTCCATTCCCATCATCATCAGAATGTAGCTCAGAGCCTGGCCTCTTTCTGAAAGCTTAGAAGCATGGACCTCAAAACAGAAGATGATCCATTTGCCATTTCTTCCTCTCCAAAAGTGTTCCTTAAGGACCAGGGATTAAACACTTTCTCTTTTTTGGTTAGATAATACGCTATAAAATTATATTGAGTAGTAGCTTGTCATCTCAAAAAAGCTTATGCTTTTAAAAGTAAGTGTTCATAAATCAAACTGAAATTATGTGCCAGGAGGTAGTACTTGGGATTTCTTCAGTGGAGCAGGAAAGCATGTTGGAAAGAAATCTGAGCAGGCAGATCAGAGGAGGAGACAAGAAAGTGTAAAGACTGATTTGAGGCCATTGTTAAATAATGAAAGAAAAGGACAAAGGAAACACTATTAGAATTTTACACATTCTCCTGAGCTTTTGTCGCTCAAAAATGTTACATCAGGAAATTATAAGTACATATGTACTTTTATCTGCAATGAATAGTTGCATAGCCATTCTTTAGTGTTTGTAGTTAAACACTGATCTCTTATGAAGCTCAGCGTTCACTCTATCAATGTTTCATAGTCTGGAGAGCTTAGTGGAATGCCCTATGTCTTCCTCACCATTCACAGTGAGAGAAATCCTATTACAGCTGCATTAGCTGTGGCAGCATGTAATGCTTTAAAAACAAAAAAGTGCACTTTAAACACCTTGAATGCAATTTCATAGCTAAAACCAGACCCATACTGTATGTGATCCTACTAACTTACTAATATGATTCACAGTTTGGAACTTTGGGCTTTAAAATCTTAATTCAAAATTGATCAAAAAATAGCTAGAACAAGGACAGGTTATAACCTAGGAGAAGAGCCACGCTTTCCAAAGGATCTGGCTTAGTCCTGACCTGCTTGCTTTCTTGTAGTGATTTAATTTTTGAAGTGGTTTCTATACACTGTATATTGAAGCAGGATTATGAAAGGCCCAGTCTCGGTATGCTTGAAAGTCCTGGAAGTCATCCTGTCTGGTAACGGTACAGCTTTATTTTATCTTTATTTTATCCCTAGGAGTCTCTAGATAATGCTGTTGTCATATATTCCTTGAAGGTTTTGTCAGATAGGATGGGGATTAACATTCTTTACCACCTTCTGGAACATTTATACTATTAAAAATAGTGTACGATGGAGAGTATGTGCTTTTGCTTCAAAATTTTGCAATGGAAGTTAGTTTAAAAGAAATTCTTCCCAAGTGAGGAAAAAATATCTTTGAAAACTGATTGTGGGATTGTTCAGTGACTTGGAGACCCCCGTTGACAGATACGGGACCAGATGCACAAGGAACTTCTTCCCACGTGAGGAAAAAGTATCTTTGATTGTGGGATTGTTCAGTGACTTGGAGACCCCCGTTGACAGATACGGGACCAGATGCACAAGGAACTATAAGGTACCATATATATGAAGGCATATTTATTAAAGAAAGAAATTAAAAGACATTCTGTTTAGCCAAAAAATCCAGTTTAACTGGCTTAAACAATACACTGAAACTTGTCTAACTCTGAATTACTGCTACTTCTAGTAAGAGATGAAACAAAAACGCTTGAAAATCAGTTTAAGGCAAAGCTTTCAGTGAGTAGGTGGGGGACCAGTAAAGTACCTGAATGATGTTGAAAGAAGACTTAAAAGAAAAAAATGTTCATGGCAGAGGGACTTTGTATGAAATCCTTGAGGATTCATTGCAACACCCACAGGACAGGAGCACGCTGCCTTCATTTAGTCTTTCATCCGGAAAAGCAGGACACCGAGGTGTAAATGAGCTGTGCATACAAATGAATCTTTTTTAATATGTATACATATATAGCTTTACCAATTATTGATGTGCAGCCACAGGCAGAGAAGAGTATGATATGACTTCTGCTTGGCAGTTATGAAAGACTGCGAGCTATGAATGACTAAATGGGAACTGCAGCTGGTGCTCAGTTGCTGGCTGGCCCTAAACCACAACAGGGGTCACTCTGCTTTTGTTCAGCTCTCCTGTCTGTGCTGCTTAGGAGTATGCAAACAAAATAACTTTGGGATCTTTTGGATCACTTTTAGTTAGAAGAGAAAGCCACCTATGTTGTCTGGTGCCCATTTCTGCAGTGGAGGTTGTGTAACAGTTGGAACAGTTTATCTTGTGCAAATTTTAAGTAGGCGTGTAAGTGTTTCATTGTGCCTGCTTGTGAATGAGTCCCCGGCAGAGTTAGATTGTCAATGAGTTCCCTATGAGAAGCTTTTTAACAAACTTTAATCTAATTTGAACAGTGGGGGAAAAAGCCTGAGTAGGCAAAACAGATGCTATTGGGATAAACGAGCTGTGCGTGTGAGCGTTACTTGCTTTCTCAGGAGAACCTGAGCAGTCGTCCAGAGATGCATCAGTTCGGAGTCGCTTGCTAAACATCGAGCTTCTGTATTTTCAGAACAGCTTAATAGTGTGAAAGTGCAGAGGGCTCCATTCTGCTGTGTGATCCAGTGGGATGCTAATAACCTCTGCCGTCGTTATCAAAGTAACTCCACTTCACCTTGATGCCACTTAAGGCCCGGAGAACCCCAAGGCAAGGCGGTGGTCAGAGCTTGGACAGGATGAAGCACAGGAGTAGGCACTTGCATCTATAAAACAATTTCCAACCCAATGCATTGATGGAGAGGCTTTTTCTACGGAAAATGAATTTATACATGATTGATACATAACTTTCTAACCTGGCTGAACAGTGAGTGATCAGACTGCGCACAAAAAGCGAGAGCAAATACTTGGTACAACGCTGATAAGCTGCCACAGCTGCTTGTAAACCTGCAGAGCGTTTTTTCACTGAAGACTTTTTGCCACCCTTGTAGTACTTCCTCCTTCTTTGGTCTAAAGTTAGAGCCCAGGCTAGAAGGGGCAGGGAGGAAACCAGTACACTTTGCGGACAGTCACTAGAGTTGCTTGCTTTTTTTTCTTCTTTGAGGCAACTAAGAACTGGCTTCAGATGTACTTGGCCTCCTCCTGCCTTTTATAAACTATGAGATACGGCGGAATTACGTCTCCAGTTTTGTAGCACAAAGGATTAATGTACGTTTTAAACAGTACATAAAGCTGTCAGAATGCAGTGTAAGCTCATAACAGTTTGTCTTTGTGATGACCTACGGGCTCTCAGGTAGCTAGGGAACAGCTGGACTGAGACAACAGCAAAATCGTGTAGAGAGCTGATAGTGAGTGGCAAACTCCATGTCACTGATGAAATACTTTGTCTTTACAGGGCGGGTTTCCTTTTTCACCTCTGGATCTGAGAACCTTCATCGGGTGGAAAAGGTCCACTGGGGCACTCGCTATGCCATCACCATCTCCTTCACTTGCAACCCAGACCACGGCATTGGGGATCCAGTTTTGATGTAATTCCTCCAGGGATGGAACACGAGGTCACATGGAATGAGAGAAGCCCTGCAAGAGGAAAGAGGGAGAAAACATCTCTTGTAACCTCACATTCAATTAGGATTTCCCAGCTGTATTAATATATTGTAATACATCTTGTTTTCACATGTCCTTTTCCATAAGTGTAAACAGTGCCTTAAAGACCATCTTGAATTCGGTGTATTCTGAAAATGGTTTGCCTTCATGTCCTAAAAGGACAGGCTACAAACAAGAGTCCTGGAGTGGGCTCTTTATCTTTTTTTATAATAATAATTTTAAATTCTCCAGTTTGAAAGAGACAATCTTTTGGACCATGTCTTGATATGACTCCCCATGCTGCTGTTACCTGTTTAATTATTTAGTCCCTTCCCTTACTCATGGGATGTAGAAAGCTTGACCTCAATTAATAGAGCAAGATGAGTGTTACTCTTTTGAACGTGCCTCCTGTCAAGAGGAATGTATTCTCCTTTAGCATGGGCATTAGTGGGCAACACACCTGTGGTTTGACTACTGGGACTTACTTGAACTTTTTTTTTAATGGAATTACTGCAGATATTTTCTGCTGCAAACTGCAACTAGTTAATACAAAGTCAGAAATGCAATTCTCTGGTTTCCAGAAGACATAACGCTTCTGGGTTACAAATGCTTTGGTGTGCTGGGGAATGCCATGGCATTAGACCCCTCTGATCAGTCTTCCTGGTGGAAGCCCAGTGTTAAGGTCATTAAGGGTTCTTTATGGAGATGGCTTGACCATGTAACCCTGTACAGTCAATATTGAAAAGGAGAGCTGGGCAGAGGTAATCAGACAGTTCTCTGGATTCATCTGAGCATTCATCAATCCCTAATTCCCAGGCAGGGCAGTAGGATTCGGGAGGGGAACAGCTGAGAAAGAAGCTAGTTTTGTTGTTGTTTTCCTTATGCCAGCTCTGGCCTCCTTAGACACAATCCTGTAAACCTTGGCTAGCTGACAAAAGCACAGGGACCAGGGGACTGTGGTATGGGGGGTCTGAGAGAAACTGGTGTCCACCTGAATTTTAAATTGATATGGTCTGGAGCTTGATAATAAAACAATTCTGGGCCCAATAAATACATGTTTGCAATCTAATCTTAAGACCAAGCTGAAGGAAGCTTGGTTTTTTTAATTGTTGATGCAACTACAAATCTTGTATTGTGAAATACTATGTTTGATCTTGTCCAAAACAATGTTTGATCTGTTTCAGAAAGTTTCTCAATAGCTCTTTTTTGGACTTCTCTTTTTTAGTTTATTATGAAGACTTCTTTTTCTATTAACTAGGACCATGAGTCTGTGGCATTCCTTGAATAATAAATTGCAAGGACTTTGGAGAAGAGGGGACAACTGCATTGCAGTACAGATAAAATAACAAACAAATGCATAATCCTGCCACCTACATTGCTTTCTTATTACAATCAAAGGTTTTTGCAGGATTGATAAGTAAATGGTAGGAAAGCCTAATTTTTTTCTCAGTCAAACTCTGAAGCAAACATGATTTGTTTTATTAATAGTCCATGTAATTTCTGTGAAACTGGAAATCTGGAAGTGTGCTTTGATTTTTTTTATGTATATGATTTTCACTTTTGTTTTAATCTACCCTTTTATGGAAATAATAAGTATTGGGAGGGATTACAGGGAAAATTAATATAAAGAGGAATGGTGACAGGACACTTGGACTTGTTCTATTGTGAGTGTTCTCATTTGGCACACCAGCAAGATTAGTCTTCTGTAATTTCATTTCTTTGTTTTCAAACCTGAAAAAGGCTTTGTTGTCCATGCTGCCAAGGCAGAATTGTTAAAATGGCTGGATGCTAGGAAATAATAAAGTCAGTTGGGTTGCATACGTAAATCCCTGTCTCAAAGCCTCTTAATTCCAAGAAATTTGCATAACACTCAAGTTATAAATCTATGTGAAGGCAGACCAATATGACCAGCGAGTGCTTTACTGGCTTAAAACTTGATTCCTAATGTTAGCTTGAGATTTAAATGTAGGGCCCTTTCCCCAAAAATACTCGATAGCCATGGAATCTAAATATGAATGGACCTGTGTGGATTTGGGTTGGGATTCTCCAGGGTGAGGTCCTATGTTCCAAAATTCGTAACTTTACCATAAGTCCTATCATCACTGTGCAACACTGTCATATAAATTGCTTTGCCACTTTTCAAAGTGTTTGTGAGTTATGTCTGTCCATCATCCAGGTGTTGAGTTGCACTAAATGAAAATGGCATTTTCAGAACTGCCTTCTGTGAAACGACTCAAGAAGATCGGGTCAGACCCCAGGGGAAATCTCAGCTCACTTCCTCTCCATTTTAATCTTCTGAAGATCCTGTATATTGTAAAATCTCCTGAACACGGTGCATCTCTCATGCTATGAACTGACTGTCATTCAGAAATCAAATCAAGTTGGTATTTGTCTTTCAGAGTTTTTAAGCTTCAGTAATGTGTTCAATGTGATGACCAAACCTGTCAGATATCATTTGTGGAAAAACATGGGTGCTGTACCTGGTAAGAGAATTCATCTTTTGAAAGAAGTATCACAATTCAACACGCTGTATGCCTTAGTACCAACCACAGGTTTTCTATTTGAAGCTTCAATATCTGGACTACTAAAAGCAATCTCTAGATCTACAAAGAAATTAACTAGCAGATAAGGAAGCACAGTGCGAGCTAAAAGATTCTGAACACAGCCTCCAGCAGGCACAGAGTCATTGCAGAAGGGCTGATGTTCCTGGGGCAGGGAGGAATTTGCAGAATTAGAAATAAATTAGATCATTAGAAATAAACTTGGCTTAATTGATTTTAGTCCAGTTAAATACCCTGAATAGCTTTTTATTAAGGGTATCTCTTCCCAGTTCTTGACAGATAATTCTGAATTTGCAATACTTTCATTTCTGTCTGTCCTTTTCCAGGTTGAGCCTGCTGTTGCGACTGGGAAAAGCAGCGCTCTGCTGCTTTGACCTCTGAGGCTGAGGACAGGATTTGTTCTGTTAAACTGGCATAAATCTAATGCCAAGCTGCTGCAGACAAGCACTCTTAATTGAACACATGGTGATGGCAGAATTTGGCTTGATGTTTCCCAGCTGGGTGAGAACCTTTGTAAAGAGCCCTCATGGTTCAAACAAAGTAGAGAGAGGTCAGTACCTGTTAGTGTGAACTGGGGACAAGTCCTGACATTCAATTTATAGCCTTGTACCTGAAAGCGTACTTGTTACAAGTATTTGGGAATGTTAATTTGTATTTTGAAAGAAAAATATTTGTAAGGAAAGGTAAAAGCCTGCTTGTGTGAAGTGTCCCGGGGGAAATAGAAAATATGGCAGGAGACCAAGCCAGACTTTGAATCCCTACTGAGAGGTTGAGTGAAGCTTCCGGAGGATTTCTGTGACATTGTACAACTTCTAAAACTGTCTTTCTATAGAAGGGTTTTGGGGAATACCAGGAACTTTTGTAAAATTAATAGGTACGTGATCAGATTAGGCTTTTAGCATAAACCTAGCTTTCAATCCTGTAGCTTACACTATATTTTAATTTTTTATCTCCTATTACATGATTCTAGGGACTCTGAGCAGATGTCTTGGCATTTCTCATGTACAAAATTTTCATTGTGTAAGCAGTTGGGGAATCATTATGTTTTTTAATTCCCCATAAATCCAACTGAAGGTTTGCAAAGGTACACTTCTGTTGAGATTTTCCTGAACAGCTGTTGCCCACCTGAAATATTCTAAGCTCCATCTTAATGAATTTCAAGTCCAGAAATGTTTACCAAGATACTTGATTTACAAAAATATTTTAGTTTGGATTTATAGCAGAAATTGAGTTTCATGTCTTATTTATTTTTATTTATAAGGTCAACATCTCAACAGGGTGCTCTCCGAGGCTGTAGCACATAATGATGTGCACGTTAAAATAAAAGTGTAGCTGCAGTGGCATTGATAATGATTATGCTGTCAAGAAAATCTGTTTTTGTTTCTTCTTCAGTGGCAGTTCTTAGTACATTTGAATTTCTCCTTTATAGCTTTCCTTCCCCCGTAAATAAAGATGACTTTGTTTTTAATATAGAGTTCCTCACATTCCTTCTACATCCAGATAGCCTCACGGAGTGTTTACATGTGAATTGGTCTCTCTAATATGTTCATGTGGGGCTTTGTGCAATATTTTTGTCTTGTCTAAATTCTAGGAATAAAAACAGGAAATGTTGCTGGAGGTGAGGGCTCTCTGAGGGGAAAAAAATACAACCAACCACCCTCCTCCTCCTCCCTTCCCCAAGCAAAAAAATAAAAAAAAAAAGAATCTCAACTGCTGTCTCTTGTGCGGAAATCCAACCAACCATTCCAAGAGCAGCAGAAGAGTTATTTCCGTGCAGAACCACAGATGGCTCTGGCATGCGTCGATCGCTTTCACCTCATTCAGAAAGGCAGTCGTCTCAGGAAATCCGGCTCGTAGAGCCATCGTAAAGTGGTGAGTGTCTGCTGCTCCTTGTAAAATATTGTGAAGAACTATAGCATACTCTGCCTTATCTCTGCTTTTGTAAACCTTCTTAAGAAGCTGAAAGCTAATTTTGCATCGTGTTTCCTGAAACTTCCCAGTTAGCTCTTTTAATGACAATCCATGTATCCCTAAACTATCCGTGCAGGAACTCTTTATCTTCCCTGCCAACGTTGGTGACTTGTACTAAAGCTCTTCAGGATGGACTGTCCAAAGAAAATAGCTGTCCTGTTTCCAGACTGCACATCTTGCTTTGGTTGTGTCCATCATCTCTCCTCAGATCACTTATTTCATTTCTCAGTTCTGGCCCAGCACACTTCAGCTTTCACCTGTAGCGTACACTGACAGGGTCTATGAGCTCAGTCCATGATTTATTCATCGGCTGGCTCGTTAGGACTGAGAAGGAGCTGGCTGCTTCCTTTAGCCCTTTTAGCCCATGCAGTGTGTTAATCTTTAAGAAGAATTTCTAACAGTGGTGGAACTGT